TATATCAGATTACTATTTTTTTTGGACTTTTTGAGATAGGGTCTCCCTGTGGCCCCAGCTGTCTGGAACTCACTATGTAGTCCAGGCTGGCCTTGAACTCACAGAGATCCACCTGCCTATATCTCCTGAGTGCTGGGATTAAAGGTGTGTGCTACCACACTTGGCACCAGATTACTTTTTATTTAAAACTGAATGCTTAGAAAGATAATCTGAGTTTCTTAGATTTGACTGGTGACTTTATTTTATAAGATGGTCTCAGTCTAAGGTATGAAAGTACAGCACTGGTCTGGAGAGCCCCCAGATTAATTATGAGAATTCTCCACTCAGATCTGTGTGATCGCTGAGCTACATTTTCTAATTTGAAAGTCTTATTCTGAATAAATGCTCCTGGTGCTCCTGGTTATGGCATACATAACCTCATGTAAGGTAGCTACAGATAATTACACTTGGAAGGAAACAGACTGCTTCACATTTCTAGTACTACTTCATAGAGTGTTCAAGACAAAGGCGTGCCACCCGGCAGTTCTCTCCTAGGTCAAGAAACAAGTTCCTCTAGTTCTTCACTTCCAGAGCAGTTGATGGTGATGAGGAGGATACACTCAGGGTCTCCTGGGACATTTGTGAAAATAAGCACAACACTTTTCTTTTTTTTTTTTTTTCTGAGGTTAAGAGGTAGGATACACCGTGGAGATCTAAGACAGTCCCTTGCTATCCTAAGTGTTATTTAGTTGCAAAATCCCCCAAGCTCTTTAGGTGCATGGGGAATATTTTAAACATTTAAGAAATGAAAAAGATTCAGGCTATGGAAATTTGTGGAAAATTACTTAACTTTTAAGAGGACCATTTTAAAATGAAATTGTGTCAAATAACCAAACCTATCAAATAATTTTTAAGTGTCTGTAAACATATTTGTGATGTTGGAAAACAATCTTTAAAAATCATGAAAAGTGAAAATAGAGTGTTATTAAAATAATAAAATAAAGCTTTTTGTTCTGCAGTGAGTTCAGTATAGTGTGATACGTACTGTTATATAGTTTAAAAAGTCTTATCTGTACTATAAGTTGTACTCAGGTTGAATAGTTCTTAGTGTGTGCTCAGTGTTTTAAAACACTGAACAAAGCTGTTTAGGTTTTGATGAGTTTGTTATATTAGGTACTTTAGGTAGTTTAAAAAGTTTGTGCTACAAATTGTACATGGGTTGAATAGTTTTAATAGTATGCCCACTGTTCAAAAACAGACATGGGCAGATTTCCCTTCATACTTAGGTGCTTTTAATAAAGCCCAGGTTTTCAGCAGTTCTAATCCAGCAGTTCAGAACTGTATTTGAATGCATAGGAAATAACTCTTGAGAAGATTAAACAACTCAAAATTTCAAATGTTTTTTTTTTTTTTGTTGTTACAGTTAGAGATTAAAATATTGTTTGGGGCTGTGGTGGGCGGCTGCAGTCTGTTTGCTGGTTTTTAATACTAGCCAACTACTTTTGATGGATTGGACCGAACACAGTGTTTCTTGGATTTTGTTTATAGCTTGTGCCCTTCTTAAACATTTCAGCTATTTTTGATAAAGAAAAATAAAATTGTGTGAAGAATGGCAAACTTATGAGAGTATATTGGGGTACCTTTATGCTTGGCATCAACTTTTAAATAAAGACGTGTAATCTGATGTCTGCCTCTTTGAACAGGGAGACGGGCAGTGAGAAGCTACAATGCCAGGACGAAGCTGTCCTCCTGTGACCTTTGTGGAGACGCCCCCTGCCATGCCTGTGCTGGAGCTTCGGACTCCCTCTGCCGCTCTGGGCTCCTTTTCACTTTCTGTTTACTGCTTCTGTGTTTCGTGCAACATCGATCGTGATGTATTTTTCACGGACTCCATGTAGAACTAGCATTTCCAGAAGTCGAGTGTGTGATTGTTTTGTTTCCATAATTGATTATTGCCTCTGACTGTTCTGAAAATCAGCTATGTTCTTTGCACAGGGCTAGGGGGATGTCTGTAACACGCCTAGCATGTGGAGTTGCACCAAGCTCTTCACCTGACTTTTGTGGAAGATGAATCGGAATGACAGCACTTCTGTATCTTTATTTCCCCCTCTCGAAACTTACTTTTGAGAAGTATTTGTTTTCTCCAGAATAAAAGTGTTATTTTAGATTATCATTCTTGTTTTGTAAAAGACGTGGGTATAGGCTCTTAAGCACGCCCTGCTTCGGTGTTTGCTTTAGCATTTGGGGCCAGGGGGAGCGTGTTCCTTTTCTTCCCTCTTCCAGCCCAGACCACAGGATCTGGGTCTCAGCGTAGCTTTCGGAACTGGGCAGTCATTGATCCTCTGTCGAATGCAAGCAGTGAAATGGTCCTTCCTGTTGGATCTGATGAGGTGCCCCGGGCTTTATCTTTCCACACTTTTTTTTCTCCTGGGGGAGATAGAGGGGGGCAGTGTGTTTTCCTGTGCTGTGCTGCTCTGGGTGAGGAGGCACTGACAACTGCCCCATCATGGGTCCTGGAGGGCTCTCTCCCGTCACTTCCTCAGCCTCACCCTGGCTCTGTTTCATGGGTGAGAATTGGAAAGCACTGTGAGATGAACCTATGTGACTTGGAACAAAAGAAGTGGGCCAGGAGACACTATGAACCAGGGCTGGAAGCAATTCTGTGTGGCAGCAGATCCCCTACCCTGGGCCTGGGAAAGAAGCTTGAGGGTGATGGGTCCTGGAGACCATCAAAGTGACTGCTGCTCTGAATTACTGTAGAGCTGCCCCGGGCCTCAGTACAGCCTCTTCCAGGAACAAGGATTGAGCATTGGATGCCAGTGTCCAAGGATGCCCAGAGATAGAAGATCCCCGAATTCTGGGTTATACTTATTCTGAAGTGTGAAATTGGTTTATGTGGCTGAGAAGTTTAAAATCATTTTCTGGCTTTCTTCTCTTTCTTTTCTCCTTCCTTTCTGAGTATATTGACATAGTTTCTATATAAGGATTCACCAGGCATGGTGGCACACAGTTTTAGTCCCAGCACCCGGGAGGCAGAGGCAGATGGACTGAGATCGAGGTCAGCCTAGTCTGTATATGCAGACAGTCTCCAAAAACAAACAAGCAAAAAATTAAGGATAAAAAAAAAAATCGAATCTAAGAAATGATTTAATTTTGCTCCTTAAATTTATGGCTTTTCTCTTGAGTGGATATGTAAAAATAATTGCATGGGCTCCAAAGGGCTTGCTTCATAATATTTTCATCTATCTAAAAATATGTCTATTGATGGTGGATTGGAAGCTGCCTCTGTGTGACCAGGAGAAGAAGGGTCAAGATAAAAATAGACTCTGTCTATAGGAGAAAGAGCTGGGGGGGCATGGAGAGATGGCTCAGCAGTTAAGAGCACTGACTGCTCTTGCAGGGGGCCTGCGTTAGATTCCCAGCACCCACATGGCGGCTACGAACCTTCCTTAATGACAGCTCCAGGGGAATCAGACGCCCTCTTCTGACCTCCGTGGCATTGTGCGACACGGGTACACTCACATACATGCAGGCAATACACTCATACACATAAAATAAAATAATAAATAACATTTAAAAAAAGAGATAAAGATCTGGAAAAGAAAGCAAGCTGAGGCGAGACACGGTAAATCCTCTGTGCGCGAGCAGGCAGGAGCCGCCGTCACCTGGTCAAACTCATGCGCATGCTACACTGGAGTTAGCAGTGGCCTCCAGGGAAGGACTGCGTGCTCCTGGACATGCATGCCACAGAATGGCCAACCTGAGGGAGCCTGACCAGAGACTGACCCATGGATGGAAGTGGGCAGAGAGGTGGACTGAGCGGTGCTGACTGTGGAGACTCTCAGACTGTGGCTTGGGAACTTAAAACAGATTCTCTAGGTGCCCTGACTGAATTACCCGAGAAGCTACCATCCCTGTCACTGCCTTGGTGATTCATGAACTCTAGAAGTGTGATGAACTTGGAACAAGCCAGAAAGAAAAAGAAAAAAGAAAAATAGCTAAATACAAATAGCTGGATCCAGTTGAGAACACCCAGGGACAAAGGTAAGCACAGGTAAGGCAGGGCCTTCTCCTGCCGGACCCTTGGGCACTGACAGATACCAGCCTGTAGAGCCTGATAGAGAAACTACTGGGGATGGGAGAAGCCACGTTCAGTCTCAGTGCGATGAACAACGGATGGATGGTAGAGTATCTTTGATCTCATCGTATTTCTTTTTTTAAAAAATATTTTATTTATTATTTTATGTGTATGCGTGTATTGCCTGCATGTAGGTAAGCGCACGCATGTGCAATGCCTGCGGAGGACAGAAAAGGCTGTCAGATCCCCTGGGACTGGAGTTACAGACAGTTATTAGCTGCCATGTGGATGCTGGGATTGGAACCCGGGTGTTCCACAGGAACAGTCAGTGTTCTTAACTGCTGAGCTGCCTCTCCAGCCCCGGATTTTATTTCTATTCTCTCCTTCCTTCCTTCCTTCCTTCCTTCCTTCCTTCCTTCCTTCCT